CCTCTTGACACACTGATGCCCACTGGACTATTTTTGCACTTTACATCCCCACTAAACAACCCCTGGCTTCAGCTTCATGTTGACCTCTCACCTAAATTTAACTTCCATGGTTCACTCCCTCCCTCTCCTTCCCTAAACCTCACTTCGCTGCCCACTGCCAGGCACTTTTGTTTTCACATGGCCAACTTCTCAGGGAACACGCTCATATTTGTGGCTTTCGGGGTTGGCAGCAGAGTGTGCTGTGCCTGTCAAGTTTTTTTACTCCGACTTACCCCAGCACCCAAATTGAACTGTTTAGTCATTTCCTGTCACCCCCACCACCCTCCTCGCCATTCCGTATTTGCCAATAATGTCAAATTTCATCGCTGAGTCTGTGTTTGTAAAATCTCATGTTTTGTGGTGAGTCCTTTCCTGAATAGTAGTTACCTTCCCTGAATTTGGAAAAGTCACAGAGACTGTCAGAAAAACACGGTCCATGAAAAACCTTTTGACTCCAGATAAGAGGCGGACGTCCACTCATGGTGTGTCCAGTAGTTTTTGGCTCTTGAGGGACATCATAACCTACAAAGCCATGAAAAAACAACTTACAAAACCATTAACATGAGCGCATGGCAGGAGGACTGACCCAGAAATAGGCCTGGGCTCATCCAACACACATCCCAGAATATGAGGGAGAAAAAGAGACGTGTAAATAGATGGGGTTTACAGAAGGGGGGGGGGGGGGGGGGGTGGTCTGGGGTTCCAACACGTTTCTCAGCTGATTCAATCAGGACTTTGGTGCCACATCTGTGACCTCTGACCCCAGCTCAAAAAGAAGGGAAGTGATTGTACGTCGCAGGCAAACTGGAGTCGACACAAAACCAGGATGAGAAAAATGTTCAGAGAGATTTTTTTCTTTGTTTAATTACAAAAATAATTGAAGCCAGGTTTCTACACAGACGTGATTGGCTCGCACCTTTGACCCACACGCTGGACTCCAGCAGACATCTTCAGAGACGGGCTCCGAAATCTTATTAAGGCATAAAAGGTGACAAATCGTTGAGGAGGGAAATCCAGAGCCTTCACATCTACAGAGCAGGTTTTTTTAAAGACGGGGATTTGACCGTTGGATCCAGGAGTTCCTGGAGAAGGTGGAACTTTAGGCACTGTTTGAAAAAATATGGACGACTGGAGCAGGGGGGGCGGAGCTAATGTGGCGTGACTCCAGGCACCGTCATCACTTCAGATGGAGAAAATGTCACACACACACATACATAGACACACACAGGGACACACACAAGCACCTTTAAGTCTCGTTTGCTGGTGGATTAATTTCAGTGAGAAAATAAATAGGACATAAATGAATCTTTGGGGTTCTAGAAGATGAAAGGATAAAATCAAAGGAAACAAAAAAAAAAACAATAAAGTGAGTACCACGTTTGTTTCAGTAAACAGAGTCGACGTCGATGTAGCAGAGCCATGTGGACTATATACAGGAGCTGGGACTGTGAGCTGCGGGACACACACACACCCACACACACACCTTCACACACGCACACACACACACACAGCTGTAGCGGTGTCTGATACTGGGATACGAATATAAACACAAAAAAAATGGCCACGCGATACATTTAAAAAAAAAAAGAGAGAGAGAAAATAAACAACAAATTCAAGTTCTTTGACGCCGAGTCAGTGTACAAAGTATAAAGTACCTGCATATGTGATACATGACATAAAGATCAGCTATAAAAAAGGCCCCCTGAAGGAAAGAGCTTTTCCTCTCACTGTAGAAACAGAGCATCATGAACGATGGCCACATGAAGAAGGAGAAGAAGAAGAAGAAGAAAAGAAGAAGAAGAAGAAGAAAAGAAGAAGACGAAGAAGAAAAAGAAGAAGTGAGAGAAGTGTCCGACGTCGGGGGGAGCTTATCTTCCCAGGCCGTTCAGAAAATGCACCCACAGTTTGTGTTTATTTGGCTTATTTCAGTGTCTGGAAGTTGCAGAGAAACCAAGAGAGCGAGCGAGCGGGCGAACGAACAAACGAACGCCGCCGGCCGCCCGTCTTCTTCTTTTGTGCATTTCCCCCGTCCTTCCCTTTCCCTGTGCTTGCGTTGGGTTTTCAGGTTTTTTTTTTTTTTAATTCTTCATCACGGAGACGGCGGCTCAGCTCAGGGCCTTGTGTCGGCCCCCGCAGCAGCCGCACGCCAGCCCCACCCGGTGGCAGGCGTGCAGAGGGGGATACAGGCAAAGGCACGGCGCCACCACCGACAGGCCGAGCAGAGCCAGCCATCGCGTGCCCAGCCGCCCGCCGCCGCTGCCCTCGCTGCCGTCGCAGGAGCAGGGGTCGGAGTAGTCGCCCTCCGGGTCGGACATGCAGTGGTACAGCATCGTGTCTGCCAGCCACATGCAGCTGACCCGCTGGATGCACACGCGCACAGGGTCCGGCGCGTCTTGGCAGCGGCCTCTCCGGTTGTTGGAGACGGTGAAGGCCTCGCCGCAGTGCTCGCACTGCGCACGCTCAAGCCCCTCCTCTTTTCGTCCTTTCGCACCATTGGCGGATGGTGAGGAGCTGGGGATGAAGGAGCGAGGCTGCGAGGAGATGACCGAGGAGAGGCCGTGGCGATAGTTACCGCCGTGGCCCTTATTGGTCAAGGGTCCCAGGGCGGGGTCAGAGTCTGAAGGGGACAGGGCGGGGGCCAGGGGGTAGGTGTAGTCGTGTTTCTGTGAGTCAGTCTTAGCAAAGTGGACGTAGGACTCGGAGTCTTCCATCTGGATGAACTTGTCCCGCATGGTGGCGTGGCGGTAATCCTCGTAGCCCCGGTTCAGCCAGGGTCGGTCCGAGTGGCGCCCGAGGTGATGCTCCGTGGTTTGCTCCCAGCTTCTTTCTCGAGGGTTGATGCGGACGATCTCCTCGTCCTCCTGGAAAGTGACGTGGCGGGTGATCCGGGTCAACGGCTGTGGGGGGGGAGAGGAAGGAGAGGACGTTCAAAACAGAACTCACTCGATTAAAAAGTGACTGAAAAAATGTTTTTCAGAAATCTGATCTGTGGACCGCATCACGGAGACAATTGTATATAATAGCTGCGATGCTAACATATTAGCTTCAACTAATAAATTATAGACAATAAAACAAGAATACTGCATATTCTGAGGTTCCTAATGGGAAGACTGATACCAACTCCAGCCCACTAGGTGGCGACTCTACAGGAGCAGTGGGCAACATCCAGGTAGCAGGAAAGTAACTTGGGTTTGAACAGAAAATCTGACGGTTGAACTCCTGATAATTCGACCAATAGGCATCAGGCTATGAAAAATAAAGTACCATCTTGATTCTGAAAGACATTTTTAGGACGTGACCTCAGCCAATCATCGAACAGCACTGACTCAGATCTGGAACTGAATATTTTCACTCTTGGCACCGGTGAATCTCTGAGTCACGGGGATACAGCAGTGGGTCGCTGACCACAGCACCTCGTGGAAAGTGCAGTGGCGGGTAATCCGGGTCAACGGCTGAGGGGGAGGAGAGGAAGGAGAGGACGTTCAAAACAGAACTCACTCGATTAAAAAGTGACTGAAAAAATGTTTTTCAGAAATCTGATCTGTGGACCGCATCACGGAGACAATTGTATATAATAGCTGCGATGCTAACATATTAGCTTCAACTAATAAATTATAGACAATAAAACAAGAATACTGCATATTCTGAGGTTCCTAATGGGAAGACTGATACCAACTCCAGCCCACTAGGTGGCGACTCTACAGGAGCAGTGGGCAACATCCAGGTAGCAGGAAAGTAACTTGGGTTTGAACAGAAAATCTGACGGTTGAACTCCTGATAATTCGACCAATAGGCATCAGGCTATGAAAAATAAAGTACCATCTTGATTCTGAAAGACGTTTTTAGGACGTGACCTCACGCCTTTAGGACGTGACCTCAGCCAATCATCGAACAGCACTGACTCAGATCTGGAACTGAATATTTTCACTCTTGGCACCGGTGAATCTCTGAGTCACAGGGATACAGCAGTGGGTCGCTGACCACAGTTTGGGACTCACCTGGTCCAAGAAGTAGTGGTCTGAGAGGGGGTCATGCCGATGTCCCATCATACACTTGTGTCTCAGCGGAAGGGGCGAGGACTCCAGTGGCAGCTGCAGGGAGTTCTCCAGTTTCTGGGAGGAGTTGGACGAACTGTCCGTGTTGTTCTGAGAGGAAACAAACAAACACAGGATACGGGCTGAGAACTGCTCTCTGATTGGACAGGTGCAACAAACAGTCGGGATGGGAGGACGCCACCATCGGACAAACAAAAACAGGAAGCGGCGGCTGAAGGTTCTGGAGGAGCAAAACAGGAAGGATCAGCGCAGTTCGACTTCAAAGTTCTTCAGTTTTTAAATGTCGGAACTGATGACACCAGGAGAATCGGTACTGAGATGAGAATCGAATGGAATCGGTGGACAGTAATGGTGGTGCACGGTCTAACAATCCTGTAGGTGGCAGTAGTACACACACAGCTTGTTTGCTGACGATCAGCTCACGATGTAGTGAAAATGTTTGTGTATGTTAGATAAAAACAAAAGACCTAAAGGTGGCCGCTTGGCTATGGCTAACAGTTGTCTTAGCTCCGCGGTACTTCAAGTACTACAGTATTACCTCAGTGTCAAACATTTCGCTGTTAGCACGGACACCAGAGCTAACATTGGCTACAACAGTCCTAGCCCTAGTACAGACAAAATAGCCAATGCTAGCTACAACAGTACTGCTATAGACACCAGCGCTAACGTTAGCGACAACAGTCTCAGTACAGACGGTCGGTGTTCAGATATGGTTCCTGTCTAGACAAAATTACTGATCAGACAAAACCAAACAGATTTACTTCAAGTATCGCTGGCCTGTAACCATGACAACGGGACCGAACGACCTTTGCCCTACATCAGTTTATGTCGCAGTGAAACTTGTTCCTCAAATGTACAGTATCATTACGTCCTTCAAAGCTACAAGAGTAAAACGTACTTTAAGACTTGGTGCTATCCTGTAATCGCTGCCCCCTGGTGGCACATGTTAAAAGCTGGTGGAATCTAGGTGGAGCAAATAGGTAACTAACTAACTAACTAACTAACTAATCCCCAAATCACCCCCCAAAGTACCCCCCCACCCACCATCCCACTGTCTAATAATTCCAGACCAGAGCTCAGGTCAGTGTCGTGTGATGAAACAAAAATCATCTTCACCTCATGTACTGATGCCTGGCACTTCCACAGGATTACAACCGACACTTTGACGTATTATTAGTCAGACTGACACGACCCAGTCCGTGTGTGTGTGTGTGTGTGTGTGTGTGCGTGTGTGTCTGTCGGCTGAAGCCGTCCCTGATATATCCTGCTCCCCACATGGAAACCTCACGGCTGAGAATTTCCCCCCAGCTTTCTTACAAAGCCCTCAGAGCCGTCGGCCAAAAATAACATAAAATGCTGCCTCCGCTCCTGGCCCCGCCCCCCTGCTGAAGACATTACTGCGAGGAGGAGCTGATAGGGGTTTTTAAAAAAGCCAGCTCCGACTCTGGCCTCCACGGCCGCGACTAATTCAAAACACAGACCCGAGGTTTCTGCTGCGGAGCTCCAGCAGCAGAGAGGGGAGACGGGGGGGAGACGGAGGGGAGGCGGGAGACGGAGGTGAGACGGAGGGGAGACAGAGGGGAGACAGAGGGGAGACAGGGGGGAGACAGAGGGGAAGAGTTTATATTTCTGGACATCCGCTCTTCATATATTTTGGCCGAGGTTGGACAGAGGGCATTTCGAGTTATTTTCTGACACAAAACATGTTCCAGTTCTGGACGCTGGGAAGAATTCATCCTTCAGCGGTCCAGGCGCCCTCTCCTGGGACGAGCTC